ATCTGAGCTGAGCACTAAATCAGATAAAAAGTCTGAGAAATCAGACAGAAACTCTGTGTAAGGCCCAGGTGGACGATAGATGATAACAAATAAGACTGGTGTTTGAGTTTTGCAGCTGGGGTGGACAAGGCTAAGGCTTGTCAGGCTTTCAAATTAAAAGTATGTCTGGGTCTGTGGTTGATTGACAGGCTGGTGTGAAAAATTGCTGCTGAAGTTTCTTATGGTTAGAATAACGCGGGGGTGTTGATTCATTTAATCTAACATAATCATCCTGCTGCAACCAGTTTTCTGTAAGGCAGAGTAAATCGATTTGTTGATCAATTAACTCATTAATAACAGAGAGTTGGAAGAGAAAGACCTAATGTTTAATAATCCACATTTCACTGTTATACTCATTGTAAAGTAAAGAGGCCATGCTGCTAGCGAGTCGGCTACAAGCTAAGCTAAGCTGGTGAAACAGTAAAGACACAGTGAGTGAATACTTTGGCAATAAATTGGGGAGTGAGTACAAAGAAAGTTTGCTTCGGATGAAGCACGTGTTTTTAATTGTCCACCCCAGTTTTTAATTAAATTGCTAAGCAGATAAGCTACTCAAACACACCACTGTGTGTTGGAACAGGAACAGGAAGTGATACTCTACCGCAGAGAGGGGAAACGATAAGTGACTGCACCACCGAAAGGAGGTAGTGAATAGTTTGGTGAATCCTTGGATCCTTTGGATAAATGCATTGTCTTTTTTTTTTTTTTTAAACTGGTGCACATGAAGGTCTAATATATTTAAGAAAAAATAAATTTGCTTAGCCATTACACCAGGTTTTTTTTAATATATATATACATGTATATTGATTTGTTATTTAACTTTTATTTGATAAGGTTGTTGTTTTTATACAGTAATTTAAATACAGAGCATGACACTGGTGTGCAGCAGAGCGAGATTATAGCTACTCCAAATTTCCAACAGTTCCTCATTCAGGTTTCAGATCCACAGTACAAGAACAAAATAAATATAATACAAGTATAGTGATAAAGGCTACAGTAAATACAGATTAGCTGGAGTGGAATACAGAACTTAATTAAATACACATAAGACTACATAAATTACCATAATAATTATCATGATTACCAAAAGTTATAGATTTATAGCATAATTATAATTAAAGTGTCTTTAGCTTTGCTTTGAGCTGGTCTTTGACATTTACTGTGAAATATTTAACATTTGTAATTTAAGTTGTCAGGGTGATTATTATGGAGAACGCCACATGTTTATTTTCACATTCACACTCCCATGATGCATTGCGTGTTTATTCTTCACTCACCTTTTTAGTCCCTGTTTATATACCACTCTGCATTTATTCATTGCTTATATCTCTGGCTCTCTTCCTCAGTGTGTCTTTTGTCCTGTCTACCTCCCATCACCCCCAACTGTTCTGTCCTGATGTAGTGATTTAGCACTAGATAAATAAAACTGAATTAAATATCTACAGCTTTGCAACTGCCGAGAACAATGGAGCTTCAGAGACAACAATTCCCCCAGAGCATTAAGAAGGTTAAAGGCACAAGGACCCTACTGGTATCGGCTTATCTGGAACACCGCACAGGCGAAAAACAGGTCAGTAAAGAGATAACGGTTGTAGTGTTGCATTATTAAAACCTCTATTATTGGTTCCAATAATACATGTATGTTTGGGGTCACTAAACATTCAGAAAATGCCAGACAAGGATTTGACAAGAAATTGACAATAAAGACATTGTTACGGTGTAAGTAATATGTTTCAAATAAATTAAATTTGAGCGGCAAATATAAATTGAATTTTCTTGTAGACGTACAAATACATATTAAGGAGAATTTTATTGTAACTTATTTTTGAGAAAAAGACAGAGGGGAGCATAGGAAGCAAAAGAAAAGGGAAAAATATAAAGTTGTGTTATAATACAACAGGACATAGGCAATGAAGTGAGCAGCTTTGGAAAGGCAGGATTAATCATAGGTAGGATCACTGTGTTAACTTCAGAGGAGGGTAAGCCTCTGATGAAATCTAGTGAAATGTGGGAACAGGGTTTGTTTGAAATGGGTTTTAACTGATGGAAACACTGGATTTCTGTGCAAGTGGTGGGACACCTGGAAAACTGCTGGAGCATTAGTCAGAATTAATCTCATATTTGTGTTTATGACTAAACACTAGATTAATTGCAAAAAAAATCAGCTAAATATGGTAAATGGTAAATGGCCTGTATTTATATAGCGC